TAGCATATATTCGAAAAAATTTAGCATAATTTAGCAATAAATGCTTTTCGCCAGCATACACTTTGCTGTCGCTTATTCTATTATGTATCTCCTTTTTTTTGTTGGTTGGACAAATCATTGCCGCTGGCCATTGCAGCGATAAAATTACTTTGCTATCGCATTTCATTTTTCAGTCCATTTTTTTTTGCACTTTCTCAACAGCTTCAATTGGCGGGGCCAACAGAACAATATGTGAGAAAAAGTGCGGCGCTTTTGTAATGATTGTTAGACATCAAGTCGATAAAGAAAGTGTTTTATGGTTTTATGTTCCGTATACGAACGAGTATAAAGAACGTGTACTGCCGGATCGAAACACGATGTCAACAAGCCAAAACATTGACGACAACTGTGCTAATGCTACTGGGGAGGAGACGGATGCAAGAAAAAAAAGGGCCATTGAAAAGACGAAATGATACAGAGAAAGAGATGAGTGTGTGTGTGAGAGAGAGAGTGAGAGAGAGAGAGAGAGTGAGAAAGAGAAGAGAAAAAGGGCAAATTCTTGAATTTCTAGCTTCCTTTGAGATGGGATTAAGTATACATTCCAATGATGAAGTGGTTAGTGCGTATGTTTCAGATTTGGCTGCTAAAAGTTTTGAATAAGATTATCAACTACTTCCTTTATTGTTTTCTTGTCTCTCTTTTTTTCCGCTTCTTTTCTCCGTTTTTCCCTTCCACTTGGATCATTGTCCAGGAATAAATCTCACCAATTGCTTTTCGCTGTGAGTGTTTTGTGTGGTTTTGATTCCATCTGCGGAATGTGTATTCGTAATCTGAGGCTTTTTGTCGGTTCAATTCATTGCCGACGTTGCTGTAAATCATCACATAAAGAAGCGGTTTGAAAAGTAAAATTAAATTGATAGTATCATCCCAATGTAGTGTGTACAATGTACATGGTATGAAGAAATAGATAGAAGGAAGAGAGTATCAGAGAGGGAGAGTCTGAGGGAGAGAGAGAGAAAAAAGGCGTTTTACTCGGAATTTGCGACCCAATCCGATTGCTACAAAGCAGAGATTTGCTTGTATAGAGAGGTCCCTTAGATTGCTTGATAGTTTTAAGTGATCACTATATGCGGGAAGATACAGAATTGTCAGGCATGCCGATTTCTGACGTCAGCAAAAAAAACGACAACCACTCGTTGGATTCATGTAGCAATTATTAAATATACACACAACAGTTCAATGTGCTTTAATATGTACAAACACTTGCCCCCTCACAACTAATAAATAGAATGCTGGCATTTGTGTTTGGCATTTAACCACGGCTTTGGATTAAATTTTAATTAAATTAAAACCTCAAAGCTCTGGTCTAGTAAACGGTAATATGGTTTTTTTCTTTCATATTCCAAGAATGAGGCTGATTGAATAAGCGACGCCTGAGAACGCGAATGCTATGTGTTATGAAACTATGTTTTTATTATATTCTTATTGTGTCAAACAGAGGTGTTGAAAAAATAGTGACACTTGAATCAAAATAATTATTATGTTATAATCATATTTATTTAGAAAAAGTAAAAAAAAAAAGAATCAGAAATCCAATTTTTGTGTGGCCGCTCCACCAGCATGATTGTTAGTTGTGCAGCTGACCAACTGACAAGCAAACTGCAGCTACTATTTGTCAAAAGGAGGAAAATAGTTTTTACATCATTTTGACGTCTCCACTATCTCCGTCTATTTTTGCATTGAGACTTGAAGTCTCAAATGCAAATTTCAAATGTACGGGAGACTATCGTCTTCTTTTTTAATCTCCCTGGAAACAATGACGGATATGGTTCGTTTTATACTATTTTTAAATGAGCCATACTTTCAAGATGCATGCAATGGCTACGTTTGACCTTTTTTTTAAATGAAAATTGTGCACCAAGCAACCAATAATAAGCTCCTTAAACCAATGATTGGAACAAGTAAAACACAAATCCATACAGCTGATGTGTGCTCATCTCATTAATTTGTGTGATCTCTTTGTGTATTTATTCCACATGCCGCTCGTTTAAGTACTTAGAGAATTTTTGAGTAGGAGCTTTTTCGTTGAGCTATTACTACTCGTTTCATTTGTTCTTCACTCAAATGCATGCTCCCGACCCTCATTAAAATTGAATCCAATTTTCGAATACATCATTGAATTCGAAAAGGGTTTTTTTCCTTTAAAAACAACCAACCTCGAGTTGCCATTGGAACCGAACATTTATTTTTTGCTCATACCAATATACCGTGTTAACCCTCTAATGCATTAATTTTTCCCAGGGCTGGGAGTACTGGTACTTGGTTGATTTTTGGCCATAGATAATTAAAAAAATATTCATAATCCTGGATTCGTCATGGTTTAGTCAGGAAATGCGATTGACATAAATCAGAGAACAATCAAATTCATTGTTTAAAAGTGTCAAAAATGTGTCTAATTTGGTGTTCGAATAATTTATTTTGTCAAATTTTTGTTTTTGCACACATTTTTGTTTATAACTTTACAATCACACTACATAGACAAAAATTGCCAAGACAAAAATTAAGAAAAAACATTGACGAATAAAAATTCCCTTTGAAGCAATTCGATCCGATGTACGTTTTACGTTCTACAGGCGTTCAACTGTTGCCCGTCTAGAGGCGGTTGTATGCATTAGAGGGTTAAAATGAAGCGTGGTTTTTGTCTGGTATTATCAAATGATTTTGCATTAATGCAAACGATTTTGTTATTTGGTTTCGGATTTCCAGACTGAACTCAATGTCCCGCATATAAAATTGCATGCACATCAAATGGGATACCACACCAAAATGATCTAATTAAAACCATCAGAGAATTTAATCACAATTGTACGTGCCAGAACTAAAAACTGATCGAATTTTTCACATTATTTAACATAACACTACACCATATGGCAACAATAACAAAAAAAAAGTCTGGTCCGACTGTATAACCACAACAAATGAAGCCCAATTTTATTCGTCTCGCCATGATTTAATCTTTATCGGTCTATCTTCTGCCATTCTCGCACGATTAGATGTGGCCGTGTTATTGCACTTTAACCCCAACAAAGAAAAAAACAAGACCGCAGAGCTTCGCTTCGCTCCGCTCTGCGTTCTTGAGATTTAAGCTACTTAATCTATTTTGTTGTTCCACAACAAACTATTTTTTGGCGCACTACATGAAATGTATTTCATCAAAGTAACTTTGAAGTAATATATTTATTTGCAAAATGAATTACAAGATCTTGATTTTATTTATTTTTTGAAATTTACTCCCTTTGATTTAAATTAAATAAATAATATGAGCATTGAATCTAAAATCACTTTAATTCTGTTCAAGACTCAGAAAATATCATACGAAAAATTAATGTAATTTTTAAACAACATGTGATAATAAAAATTTGATTGGCGCTTTGAGATATTGTGCACTTATTGTGTCGTTAGTGCACCTGTTTTGAATTCAATTTAAAATATGAGCATAAAATTCAAATTCACCATAAATTGTTTCATCACACAAAAAATATTAAGAAAAAAAGAAGATTAGTAGCTCTACATTTCATGTAGTGCAAAAAATGCGGGTCTCTTTGTGCATTCTAATTTGTACAAAATATAATTCAAGCGAAGCAACCATTTTTTGATCGCATCACACAATGAAAAGTTTACTAAAGCAAAAAGTGAATAAATGATGCAATAGCAGCAAATAGGCATGTTCGTATTGCAAAATCGCTTAGGATGCTCCGAATCTCCAAAAAGAGAATTGCGAAGAGAAACGCCCCGAGTCACGGTTCATCGTCAGTTCAATTTCATTAATGCATCGTCGCCGTCGTAGTAGTCGTAGCCGCATTCTTGGCCTTGATTCTGATTTCAATTTCAATTATGAATAGTAATTCTTAATTCACTTTCAATAAATCCAGCCTTTTATTGATTCTCGTTTACATAATTTCTGAAGAATCATCCGTACCAATGATCAAGCAAATAAATGAATATGCCCATGCAATGCTCGATTGATTACATCATTAATTTGCTAAGAATTTTAATCGAGCAAAGCAAATTCCATTAAAACATTTGTGAACAATGGAAGAGATGGATTCATGATGATTTTGAGCGAAAATATTTTACTTTCTGGTGTTTGCAATCCTTTTATAATGAACAAACAGCATAAGAAAAAAAACAAAACGAGAAAGGAATAGAAAAAAGCATGCGTTCCGCTTCTGGGATATACAGCGTGCAAAAGGGTTTTAGCTTTGAAGTAGAATGACACGAATGAAATGGCAGGTGAATAAATTCAGGGTGTTACAACCGCAGGTAATGATGTGACATTTGCAATTCAAATCTCGCACATTTTTTCCCCGTTCATTGAAGGTGATTACAAAGATGTTGAATAAATCCTTTGGGGAATAATGCTAGATTGTCAACAACAGCAGTAGAAAAATAAGTTGTATTTGCCCGTTAGTGGTATGAAAAATGGTGTTTGTCTTTCACATTTATGTTGATTATTCTGTTTAGCATTTTGTATGCAGATAATAATGTTCATAGCACAGAAATACTTTGCACCACGTTTTCCCAAAGTCTTGTATTGGATACTGTAAAGTTTTTTTTTCTTCTTTCACAAACGATACAACAACAACAAAAAAATAACATCAACAAGAAAACAACCTCAAAACCACAACCTTGACGTAAAAATAATTTCAACCATTTCAAGTGATTTTCATTCGTTCCTTTTTCATTCCACACCGTGCTAGAGAAAAAAAAATGGTTTTCGCCTAGTAAAAGCGATGCCACCATCATCAAAAATAATGCACGGTAACCAACTTCATAAATAGCATGCTGTGTGTTCATTTTTATTCCAGAAGAAATCATCTTTTTTGTTTGCTGCTTGCTCGCAAAGTTTTTGCCGAAAGAACAATAATCAAATTTTGTATGTGACCAAACCAATTTCGTTTCATAACCACTGCTTTTTTTCCTCTTTCGTTTTTTTTCTTCTTTCTCTTCATTCTATTAAGGTTTTATATTTGAGGTTTCAAGCTTGTTTTAGGCCACAACAAATATGGAATCCCAAGCGTCGCTTTTGGTGAATTGTATGCTGTTAGCATTTCGAAAGCTTCGGATACACGCAAATGTAGACAACAATAATTACACGAATTTCGAAAATATAACTAGTACCTTTAATTTAACATCATTCGACTACCAAAGCACCAACAACGTTGACAACGATAGTCTGGAAGCAAATGCACTCGATTCCCCATCGTACAATCGAAACATTTATCAGTAAGTAACAAAATCTCTCTCACTCTCTCTCGTTGCTTAACAGCATTCATCTATTATTTCCAAGGCTTCAATTCGCTGGGCCTCTGTCTGTTTAAATAAAATTAATTGCATTTGCGGTTTGGATTATCTGAGAGCTCAGTTTTGATTCGGTTTTTTATTTTCTCTTTTTCTCTCATTCTCTATTTTCCATTCTTTTGTTCAATGTATTTCTATTAAAATTTGTCACAGCGATTTTATCGGTGAATGCCTGAAGTCACCGCCAGTCCGACCGTACGAAATCTCCGTAGAACAGAAAGCATTATGGACTTTTTTGTTTGGCACAATGCTTTTCACGGCCATCATCGGAAACAGCATAGTTATCTGGATTGTATTGGGTAAGAGAAAATTCTCCTTCTAAATCTTTGCACATACACACATATACATGATATATTTTTTTTTAAAATGAAAATAGAATATTTCACGAAATTCGGACAATATTTATATGCTTGAGTATAGTGATTTCATGCCTATGAATAATGCCACTAAGTTCAAAAGGCTGAAAAAGGTAACACCGCCATTAAGAATATAGAAATCCAAGCCACATTGTTATTATAGAATATGTCCATTAAAATATTTTTCGAGTCGTTAAGGAATTTGCTGTTCTGCGATATGGCAACCTCTTGCAAGACATAGAAAAAATACCCCGGAAAGAAACATATTAGCAACGTTATCCCTCCAAATCATGCGAAAAAATATTTATATTCACACTGCTAACGAGCATGGTGCATTGTGTGGCCAGCCAAATCTATACATGGACTGCTGCTCTAGCTGTCTTTTGCCTGAAAAATGCCAGGGATCACATAAATTCTTGTAAAGCACATAGCTTGAGGAGAAAACATATTTCCCTGTCGCTTGACGAAATAAAATCGCTTCAATCGAATGGATTCACGCACACTTCGGGATAAATTCCCTGCTCGTCGCTATGCTATGTCTTGTCCATTTGTGTACATACCTACACATACACATGAAATACGCGCGTCATCCGCGAATATAGTATATATTTTTATTGCCTATCCCCAGAAGAGTCACAAATCTCCACATTATAACCGTATCGATCAAATTTTATTATTTTTTTTCGGATTTTGGTAAGCGATTTGTTGCTTGCCCTGCCCGCACACAAACCTCAATGAATGGGTGATGTACTCTTTAAAGGTCCATTTTATAGTCGTGAAAAATATTTCGCTATATTAAAAAGAAAATAGGAGAAAAAAACAATTTACTTGCGCTCTCGCACATAACATTTTGTTATCGTCAAACAAACAGTCATTTAGTATGTAATTGGGAAAAGGGTTTCGGAGCAGAAATTACAGTGAAATTGAAATGTTTATATTTATTCGATTCGAAGAAACGAAGAAAGGAAAATGCAATAGAAAATAGAAGAAAAGCGTTGAAGCGAAGTTAGAGAGAGGGAAAGAAAAAAAAAACTTAAATTGGACCAAATGAAATCCTCTTATGATGTGGAATTGTTGAAGAACAATCACAAGAGGGATTTTGCGCGGGAAAGTTCTCGAATAAATTTAAGGATCATTTGCAGAACCGGTTCCAAGCCACTACAATCGTATACATCTATTGTTGAACAGTGAATCGTTACATTTCTATTTGTAGTATTATTGTATTAATGCTCATTTACGTAGTGCCTTTCAGCCTTTGAGTGTCGCATACATTCACATCATACCTGAACCTGAACCACAAAACTACAGATCGGTTCATGCATGCATGCCGGTTTATGTTTCGGTTTTATACTGTCAACGAGCATTCCGCAAACGTTATACGCACACAAATACACATAAATATGCCATACCATTCATCTAAATGCTTCGCTACACATTCAAACGGAGCGATTCGAACGGTGTATGCTCTGGCTTTCCCTCAACGATATGTATAGATGCATAATTTATAGTATCCAGTATTGCAAAGCCAGCAAACATATTTGACTAATCCCACTCTGTACAACAATATTGAATTTGTTACTACAGTACGAACTTGATAGTTCCGTCTATTCCGGAAATTCCGTTCTATCGTTAGGGTATTTTCACCATTAATTTCTTTTCACACAGCCGTTTTCTAATACAATTACTCACTTTCTCACTTGAATACTTTTTTTATCACTTAATCTTCACTAAGAAGCCGAAGTACATTACGGGCTTGAGCTCGTGGCTTTGCGCAAGATGTGGCTGTAAAGAGAGAGAGAGAGAGAGAGAGAGAGAGAGAGAGAGAGAGAGAGAGATAGAGAGTGTGTCACTCGAAAAGTACTTGAATCAAACGAACAAGTTAGCAGTTCAAGGGGGTTAAAACTATTGGGAACACGTTGAAATTCCCTCATCTTTGGTCGTACGGTTTCTTTCCATGCCGTTGTCATTTTCTTTTACATCGTGAAAACCACCATTCGAAGTTTTTGTCATGTTGAAATCGTTGCGTCTTCCCTTTTTTTCTTTTTTTATAAAATAGGTCGTTTAACTAATTTATGGGCAAAATTTTGCCATCTGCTTTTGTCCTATACAGTGTTCCTATTCATTATAAGACTTTTTGCTGAATTCGTTAGACTGTTCAAAGTCAATTTCACCGTTAAATCGATTATTTTTTCAGAACATTTCAACTATAACGACATACAGAACGCTTAATACCTTTTTGGTGGGCGACCAAAGTAACCGATTCAGTGAACCGAAGATCTAATGGGCTAGAGGATTTTTGTTCTAGAAACTACCCATTCCAATCAAATGACTGTTGAAAATAGCTGTGATACTGAAAATAATAAGAAGAACGACATATATTAAAAAAAACATTGTGAACGGAGATATTCAAAAGCTCCTTATGAAATCCAATAATAAGCCATTATGTAGAAATTGGAGAATAAGCATAGACAATAACAACCAAACAACCACAATAAGAATTCTTTTTTCGTGTTGTGATCGATCGATGACTTATGCTGATTCCAAGTGCTCAAACTTTAATTTTAAAGTCGGACTTTAATTTTTCA